GAAAGTATATAGCAATACAAGCCTTTCTCAAGAAACAAGAAAGGTCTCAAGTACACAACCTAACCCTACACCTAAAGGAGCTGGAGAAAGAACAGCAAATAAAGCCTAAACCCAGCAGGAGAAGAGAAATAATAAAGATCAGAGCAGAAATCAATGAAATAGAAACTGAAAGAACAGTAGAACAGATCAACGAAACTAGGAGCTCGTTCTTTGAAAGAGTTAACAAGATTGATAAACCCCTGGCCAGACTTATCAAAAAGAAAAGAGAAATGACCCAAATCAACAAAATCATGAATGAAAGAGGAGAGATCACAACCAACACCAAAGAAATGCAAACAATTATAAGAACATATTATGAGCAACTCTATGCCAGCAAATTCGATAACCTGGAAGAAATGGGTGCATTCCTAGAGATGTATCAACTACCAAAACTGAACCAGGAAGAAATAGAAAACCTGAACAGACCTATAACCACTAAGGAAATTGAAGCAGTCATCAAAAATCTCCCAACAAACAAAAGCCCAGGGCCAGATGGCTTCCCAGGGGAATTCTACCAAACATCTAAAGAATAATTAATACCTATTCTTCTGAAACTGTTCCAAAAAATAGAAATGGAAGGAAAACTTCCTAACTCATTTTAGGAGGCCAGCATTACCTTGATCCCAAAACCAGACAACGACCCCATCAAAAAGGAGAATTATAGACCAATATCTCTGATGCACATGGATGCAAAAATTCTTCACCAAAATACTAGCCAATAGGATCCAACAGTACATTAAAAGGATTATTCACCACGACCAAGTGGGATTTATCCCAGGGCTGCAAGGTTGGTTCAACATCCGCAAATCAATCAATGTGATACAATACATTAACAAAAGAAAGAACAAGAATCATATGATCCTCTCAATAGATGCAGAAAAAGCATTTGACAAAGTACAGCATCCTTTCTTGATCAAAACTCTTCAGAGTATAGGCATAGAGGGTACATACCTCAATATCATAAAAGCCATCTATGAAAAACCTACAGCGAATATCATTCTCAATGGGGAAAAACTGAGAGCTTTCCCCCTAAGGTCAGGAACGCGGCAGGGATGTCCACTATCACCACTGCTATTCAACACAGTATTAGAAGTCCTAGCCACAGCAATCAGACAACAAAAAGAAATAAAAAGCATCCAAATCAGCAAAGAAGAAGTCAAACTCTCACTCTTTGCAGATGATATGATACTTTATGTGGAAAAACCCAAAGACTCCACCCCAAAACTGCTAGAACTCATACAAGAATTCAGTAAAGTGGCAGGATATAAAATCAATGCACAGAAGTCAGTGGCATTCCTATTCACCAACAACAAGACAGAAGAAAGGAAATGAAGGAGTCGATCCCATTTACAATTGCACCCAAAACCATAAGATACCTAGGTATAAATCTAACCAAAGAGGCAAAGGATCAGTACTCAGAAAACTATAAAATACTCATGAAAGAAATTGAGGAAGACACAAAAAAATGGAAAAACATTCCATGCTCATGGATTGGAAGAACAAATATTGTGAAGATGTCAATGCTACCTAGAGCAATCTACACATTCAATGCAATCCCCATCAAAAGACCATCCACTTTTTCCAAAGAAATGGAACAAATAATCCTAAAATTTGTATGGAACCAGAAAAGACTCCACATAGCCAGAGGAATGTTGAAAAAGAAAAGCAAAGCTGGCGGCATCACAATTCCAGACTTCCAGCTCTATTACAAAGCTGTCATCATCAAGACAGCATGGTACTGGCACAAAAACAGACACATAGATCAATGGAACAGAATAGAGAGCCCAGAAATGGACCCTCAACTCTATGGTCAACTAATCTTGGACAAAGCAGGAAAGAATGTCCAATGGAAAAAAGACAGTCTCTTCAACAAATGGTGTTGGGAAAATTGGATAGCCACATGCAGAAGAATGAAACTGGACCATTTCTTTACACCACACACAAAAATAGACTCCAAATGGTTGAAAGACCTCAATGTGAGACAGGAGTCCATCAAAATCCTAAAGGAGAACACAGGCAGCAACCTCTTCGACCTCAGCCGAAGCAACTTCTTCCTAGAAACCTCGCCAAAGGCAAGGGAAGCAAGGGCAAAAATGAACTATTGGGACTTCATCAAGATAAAAAGCTTTTGCAAAGCAAAGGAAACAGTCAACAAAACCAAAAGACAACCAACAGAATGGGAGAAGATATTTGCAAATGACATATCAGATAAAGGGCTAGTATCCAAAATCTATAAAGAACTCATCAAACTCAACACCCAAAGAACAAAGAGTCCAATCAAGAAATGGGCAGAAGACATGAACAGACCTTTTTCCAAAGAAGACATCCAAATGGTCAACAGACACATGAAAAAGTGCTCAATATCACTCGGCATCAGGGAAATCCAAATCAAAACCTCAATGAGATACCACCTCACACCAGTCAGAATGGCTAAAATTAACAAGTCAGGAAATGACAGATGTTGGCGGGGATGCGGAGAAAGGGGAACCCTCCTACACTGTTGGTGGGAATGCAAGCTGGTGCAGCCACTCTGGAAAACAGTATGGAGGTTCCTCAAAAAGTTGAAAATAGAGCTACCATATGATCCAGCAATTGCACTACTGGGTATTTACCCCAAAGATACAAAAGTAGGGATCCGAAAGGGTACGTGCACCCCGATGTTTATAGCAGCAATGTCCACAATAGCCAAACTGTGGAAAGAGCCAAGATGTCCATTGACAGATGAATGGATAAAGAAGAAGTGGTATATATACACAATAGAATATTATGCAGCCATCAAAAGGAATGAGATCTTGCCATTTGCAATGACATGGATGGAACTGGAGGGTATTATGTTGAGTGAAATAAGTCAAAAAGAGAAAGACATGTATCATATGATCTCACTGATATGAGGAAATCTTAATCGCAGGAAACAAACTGAGGGTTGCTGGTGTGGGGGTGGGGTGGGAGGGATAGGGTGACTGGGTGATAGACACTGGGGAGGGTATGTGCTCTGGTAAGCGCTGTGAATTGTGCAAGACTGTTGAATCTCAGATCTGTACCTCTGAAACAAATAATGCAATATATGTTAAGGAAAAAAGAAGAAGAAGAAGAAGGTAGCAGGAGGGGAAGAATGAAGCGGGGGAAATCGGAGGGGTAGACAAACCATGAGAGATGATGGACTCTGAAAACAAACTGAGGGTTCTAGAGGGGAGGGGGTTGGGAGGATGGGTTAGCCTGGTGATGGGTATTAAAGAGGGCATGTTCTGCATGGAGCACTTGGTGTTATCCACAAACAATGAATCATGGAACACTACATCAAAACCTAATGATGTAATGTATGGGGATTAACATAACAATAAAAATTTTTTTTTAAAAAGTCTATTATATTATAGAATTATATTATATTTTATTAATATTATAACCATTCACAGTGAAAAATAAACAGTCACTGCTGTCTCACTATATAAGATGCTTTAATATGAGACTCATTCCAAGTTTTGGTTCGAGTGCTCCCAGTCTGCAAACTTTCTGGTGTGTGTGCCATAAACTTTTACTAATTACCAGTTCAGGGATGCATTGGTCTTATGTCTGTTATTTCTGAACTTTTGACACTAACACCCACACACGTGCAGTTCATGAATGAGTCTCCCCCTCGCTCCCCAAAGCTCTGCAGCTCTCCAGAGCCAAACACTGAGCCTTGCACAGCACGAGCCCGTAGGCAACGATTGCTGAGTTGAAACCACTACACACCCACCTGCCCATTCACCTTCAGACACACAACTATGCACTTTGCACAGCTCACCGCAGCCTGGAGAACACCTGTAACGCACTGGAATGACCTTCAAGGCTCTTTCCTGCACCGACTTTTCCAGGCTTATACAAGCAGCGTGTTCCTTCTCACGGCCAAATAAAGAACAAATGTGCAGTTCCTCACACACCAATTGGCTAACCTGCTCTCCTTTGAGCCTTTACCACTTGTGTGTGTCTGACACAACCCTGAGTCCATTTCCAAACACAGTCTTGTCCTGACTCTCCAGTTTTCCTTCAACACTCCATAATTTATTGATATTCCAGCTTCTTATGCCACCCAACAAACTCCATCCTGTATAATAAGCATTTCAGCAGTGATTTATTCTATATTAGAGGATTAGCTAATGTTAACTGAACATTATTTTTCTTGACAGATACAACATTGCTTTATCTTCTAGATCCTTGTACACAGAAGTGTTCAATGAACACTGGTTGGACCAGAGTATGTTGTTGACTTTTTATCAACCTCATCTCCTTAGAACAAACTTCGCCTTCTCTACTTCTTGGCCTCCTGCCAGTGCCGCACCCACTCCTGCCTATTGCTCCACCCGCCTTCCAAGCGACTCTCCCACACCCACACTCCTTACAGCCACAGGGCCAGGGAAGCTGTTGACTTTGGTCCCAATTGCAGGAGTCAGATTCTGCTGGGAAACTCTGCATCTGTGCCCTGTTCTGCAAGCTGCAGAGAACTGACCTGGCTCCCTAAGCGCTCCCCGTCGTCGTCCCCCATCCAAGGACTCCTGCACCTGCCTCCTTTTTGGTCTCTAACACAAGGGTTCCCACTGTGTTCCCACTGCTGTGCTTTGGAAACACACGGGAACCTTTTAAATGCTGATACTGGGCCCCTTCCAACCCAGAAATTCTGATTTAGTAATCCAGGATGCAGCCTGGATGTCGGGATTTTTCAACATCCAGGGATGATTCCAATATTTGAAATCCCAGGGCGTTCGTCCAGCCGAATGTCCAGCCTCTAAAGCTGGCAGCCTGGGAAAGGAAGGAAGAAGGAAGGAAGGAAGGAAGGAAGGAAGGGAGGGAGGAAGGAAGGAAGGAAGGAAGGAAGGAAGGAAGGAAGGAAGGGAGGGAGGGAGGGAGGGAGGGAGGGAGAGAGGGAGGGAGGGAGAGGGAGAGGGAGGGAGGGAGAGTGAGGGAGGGAGAGTGAGGGAGGGAGAGAGAGAGAAGCTGGTCTACGTGAGGCCCCAAGGCGGGTCCCCAAGGCGGCTCCACCCACTGCGCGGGCGGAGCCGTCCCACCTTGGACTCGGCTAGGAGACAAACTGCTGAACCTCCCCCAGCCGCGAGTCAGCGACGCGGTGCCCGTGGCAGACCCTTGCTGCTCGGCCGATTGCTAAGGCTGCGTGTCTCGGGTGAGTTCCCGAAGTCCGGACCCGGGGCCGGGCGAGACCTCCGTGAGGAGGTGGCGCTGGCCCGCTCCGAGGCCCCCGTGGCTGGGCGCCCTGCTGGCGGTAAAGCTGTGGCGGGGTGGCATGGGGGGGGGGGGTGCGAGAGAGGGAGCGCGGGTGAGCCCCGGCCCAGCGTCTGGGGGTGAGCCGGCGAGAGCGCCACGCTGCTCTCTGCTTCCGGGGCGCGTCTACCACTCCCTCCCCACCGCCCCCAATTCATCGCGTACCTCTTACCAGGGCAATTTGCTGTGTCCTGGCCTGGGAAGCAGAAGACACCGGTCTATATTGCACCAAGTTAGTTCAGCACTTTTTTTTTTTTTTTTTTTTTTTAACTAAACTCTATGCCCAACGTGGGGCTTGAACTCAGGACTCTGAGATCGAGTTGCTGATCTCCCGACTGAGCCAGCCAGGTGCCCCAAGTTAGTTCAGCTTTTGAACTAAGTAGTCAGGCTGTGGGATGGAAGCATCAAAGAAGTGTGTAACCCGATTAAATTTAAAATACTCTGTAACTTACTAAGAATTTACTTTTGTTTGTAAGTATACTTACTATCACATCTTTCGTTGCTATGGGCAGGGATCATAATTCATATGCTAGCAGGAACACCAATCATAGCTCTAGCTAATGCAGTCATTTTGCTGTTGTTATGGGCCTGGCATTGTTCTAGGAAGGCCTCCACATTATGGGCATTAGGAATGGAGGTGGAGATGATGTGTAACCTGGCAGGTGTTGAAATCCAGCCCGACTCCTCTTGCCCCATCCCCACCCCCACCCTATACACCCTGGAGGGAGCTGTGTGCAGGGCAATGGAAACGGTCCCCCCCCCCAATTTGCTCAGAAATTCCATAAGGGATCATAGGGTTGGTATTACACACCTTAATACTTTAGCTGTATTAAGTCTTTTAATTTCCACAGCTCCCCCATTGGTGCATCCTGCGGAATCCCCTTATTTAGAAGAGGAAACTGAGGCACAAGAGATAAAATACTTTTAACCAAGGCTGCAGAAAAGTCAGTGGCAGATCCAGAATTCCAACCCAAACTTTAATCTCTACACCGCACTACCTGTGCAGGTGCCCGACAGACACCCTAAACCCCAAATGAGGGAGATCTCAGGATGCCAAGCTCTTAAGAACCTAGTAAGCATCAGCCGAGACAGCAATAAGCGGTAAGACCTTGCTCTAGGTCTTACATCATGCCAACACTGAGACAGTGGAGTGCTGAAGTCTAGGGCCTCTGGCATCAAGAACCTTCCCCCAGGTCAGTGGTTAGACTTTTCGCCACCCACATGGTGTTGGAGCCCACAGAGGAAAGAAATAGACCTCTGTCCCTCTGGCATGAACTCTCATAGTGGTGTGCCTGAAAGGGGGCATGGATGAGCTGGTGTGGGTCTTCTTGTGGAAGAGTGTTGGCCATACCCAGGTTATGCCTGGGGAGGGTGCCCAGGGTGCCCCATTAATGTGGGAAGCCTGACCCTCATCCTTGCAGGTCTGAAGACGCATACTCCACGACTGAGCTTAAAATGAGAGTCTGAAAATCACCGTTTGCCTTTCAGGGCACCTTCCTTCCAAATTCTCTAGAGCCTGAGAGGCTCTTTTATAAAAGGGGAGGGCTTTTATTCATTCATCAAATCATCCAGCTCAATCATCCAAAGCTACTATGTAAAAATAAATCCGAGCAAAGATGGCAGAGAGTTTGAGGGCCATTTCATCCAAAGCATGGTGAAACCCAGGGCTCCACCACAAGAACTCCCTTTGACCAATACATCCATGCCCCCTACCACCCGCATTCTAATTCTCTGGACAGACAGCATTAGACACACAGGCCAAAATTACCTCAAGCTTCAAACTCTTCCATCCCTCTGTTGGTCAAGCTGCTCCCAGATCCCTCTACCTCTAACCATTCATCATTTGGCTACTGGCTCAAATGTCACCTTCCAGTGAATCTCTCTTGTTGCTTCTTCCCCAGCACCCAATCTAAAACAGATCTCCCCTCTACTCTCTATAGCACCCTGTAGTTTTCTTTGTAGTACGACGGCTTGTCATGATGTATTTATTTGCTCAATGTTTCTTTCTTCAACAAGACCCTTGGCTCATGAGGGCAGAAATCACGGAGTCCTCAGCCCCAATGCCCAGCATCAGACCTGCACGGCATCAGGCCTCAGTAAATATAATAAATGACCTCAGCTGACCCTGCACTAACTAGCACCGGGACCTTGGGTAAGCTACATGCATACTCTTTCTGATCTTAAGTCCCATCTGTCCAATGAGCCAAGAAACAACAATTTAGGTCACAACAATTTCCTAAGGGCCTTGCCATGCTCCCAGCCCTGCTGTTGATGAATCTATCCACCCATCATCATGAACAGTGACTAGTCTATCCTCAGCCAAACTGCAAAGTAAGTGAACCTGCTGGTTCTTTAATGAAGGACATCTGCCCTCAGCTGTGCCTCTCAATTGGACACCCCATTCAGGGAAGCCTCCCACCCCCAGCACAGGATGCCCCTGCTAAATATGTCTTCTCATCCTGTAGAAAATAAGACCTTCCCTTCTTTCCCAGCTGCTTTTTAGTAGAGCCTCTTAGAAACCCATTCTCACTAAAGTGATAACAGGATATAAGCTATACCCTTGTATGAGTTTGTCAAGGGGAGGACTTTTTTTTTTTTTTAAGATTTTATTTATTTGACAGAGAGAGACACAGCGAGAGAGGGAACATGAGCAGGGGGAGTGGGAGAGGGAGAAGCAGGCTCCCCGCAGAGCAGGGAGCCCGATGCGGGGCTCGATCCCAGGACCCTGGGATCACGACCTGAGCCAAAGGCAGACGCTTAACGACTGAGCCACCCAGGCGCCCCAAAGGGAGGCCTTTTATTCATACAGCAAACATATTGGGTGATTTCTCCATGAGCAGTACTCCGTATCTGAGAAACATGCTAACATCCATAAAGCACTTACTGGGGGTTAGCATGGCAGTCCTGCACGCAACATTCATTCTCATTTCATCTGTAAAACCACCCTGTGCTACAGGACCAGTAGATATGTGGAGAGCGAGGCCCTGAGAGGCTAGTAGCCTGACCCAGATTTCACAGGTAGGCATGGGCAGGGCAGGACAGCTATCCACTCTGTCTCTCACCTATATTCTACAGTGCCAAGGCTGTGGTCTTGCACTTGTGGTCAGTGGTGTGGGATGGAGGTCTCAGAGTCTGGGGAAGGAGGGGTATCCCATGCTTACAGCAAATCTGTTGGAAAAGGTTTAGAACATCAATTACTCCTTTTCAAGTATGTTCTACAAATAGGATTTTACATTTTTTTTCCTTGAATCTCAAATATTTTTAAGCTTTTTACTTGGGTATAGTTGACACGCAGTGTTACATTAGTTTCAGGTGTACAATATAGAGATTTAACAAGTCTATACGTTATGCCGCATGCGCAAGTGTAGCTATAATCTGTCACCATACTACACTATTACAGTACAATTGACTATACTCCCCATGCTGAGCCTTTTATTCCCATGACTTACTCATTCTGTAACTGGAAACCTGTATCTTCCACTCCCCCTCACCCATTTCCCCCGTCCTCCTACCCCCTCTCCCTCTGGCAACCACCAGTTTGTTTCCTGTATTTATAGGTGTGATTCTACTTTTTTTTGCTTGTTTATTCTTTTTTTTTTAGACTCCATGTATGAGTGAAATCGTATGGTATTTGTCTTTCTCAGTTTGACTCATTTTACTTAGCATTATGTTCTCTAGGTCCATCCATGTTGTTGCATGATCTCATCCTTTTTTAAGGCTGCATAATATTCCTCTGTGTGTGTGGTGTGTGTGTGTGTCCCCTACATCATCCTTATCTATTGAACGTTAGATTTTAAATAATGACACAAAATTAGAGAATGACTGTGCAAATTAAAAAACACAAACCCAGGGGCCCCTGGGTGACTCTGTTGGTTAAGCGTCCAACACTTGGTTTCAGCTCAGATCATGATCTCAGGGTCATGAGATCGAGCCCTGCATAGGGAGGGAGTGTGCTTCTCTCTCTACACCTCTCCTTCTGCCCCTCCCCACTGCTCGTGTCGCTCTCTCTCTCTCAAATAAATAAGTCTAAAAAAATAACAACAACAACAAAACCCCACAAACCCAAAAGGAGACAAAAGTAAAACCAGAGAGGTAGCAGTTACCACATAAACATTACAATATAGTTATGACTTTGAACATAAAAGCAGTCAACGGGACTTGGGATTATTATGAAGAAAGCTTAACTGTGAGAAATAATTAAGTTCTCCTTCGGGTTAAATGTTGGTGTGGTTACAGTTCCTGGTTAGGGAAACTTTCTGTCCTGTACAACACTCAGATGCGGGCTCAGCTTGGGGCTGTGAATGAAGCTGGCCAAGACACAGGCCCTGTGTCTGCCTTAGTTCAGAGTCTGCTACCAAGAGAGCAGCTTAAATAACATGGCCCCCTTTCTGCTGCTATCTCAGAAAACGTGAGCTCCACGTCGTCCACATGCTCACAGGGAATGGTCACGGAGCTCTTGATGTGGGTCTCTCTTCCTTTATAGGTCTCAGCCACAACATGGCTTCCAACCTGAAGTCAGCCAAGAAATTGATGGTTGTCTTAGGAAAATCAATGATTGCTTTTCTGGAGACGATGATTTTCATCATCATCCCCAGACCACGGAAGAACGTTGCTGGTGAAATCGTGCTCATCACTGGCTCTGGGAGCGGACTGGGAAGGTTCTTGGCCCTCAAATTTGCCCACCTTGGATCCGTGCTGGTTCTCTGGGATATCAACGAGGAGGGGAACGAGGACACATGCAGGATGGTGCGGGAAGCTGGGGCCCCAAGAGTTTATGCCTACACTTGTGACTGCAGCCAAAAGGAAAATGTATACAGAGTGGCCGAGCAGGTAGATCTTGCGTCTCGCTGTTCCCTGTGGGTAGTGAGCACTATACGCAGATACGCACACGTGCCTCCATTTCTCTGTCTCTTTGCCTTGCTCAGTGCGATTTGCCTGTCTCCAACATTAATTTAAAAAATATTGGGGAGTGGGAATTCGGATTTTTGAGTTGTCACCGTATACAATACACCACACAAAGCACCCCATCTATATTACATCCTAATCCTATAAAGTGAGGTCCATGACTATCTCTATGTCACAGATAAGGAAACCAGGGCTTAAGGAGGTAAGTAGCTCCCCTAAGAAATGGCTACTAAGTAGCAAAGATCCAGCTCAGCCTTGAGTCTGTTGACTCCGTGGCACATACCAGGCGGTACAGGCCGGTGCTGGCCCCTGTTACCATATAGGAGGTAGAAGGTGGCCCCCTTCGTGGAGGAGAAAGGAGACATAGAGATATTGAATAATCTGCTCAGGGGTCCCAGAACCAGCATAGGATGAAGCCAGAGCTTGAACCCGTCACCGGCCTGAGCTGAAATCCAGCTATTTCCACCACACCACAGGGCCTTTCACTTGAATGTATATTTCTCTTAAGTAATCATAAGAAAATCAGAATATTTCATTCATCTTAAAGATGCTTAGCCGCAGTTGCTCCTTTGGTGATGATACAGCTGCACGTTCAAAGAAGGATTTCAGGAAATCAAAACCCCACTAAGCAGCTGTAAGAGGTTTTTTTTGTTCATCGAGGTGCGTACTTGCTTGCTGCCTCTTTTCCCTCATAAGACTTTTCTCTATCCCCCCATCGGCACATCACTCTCGTGAGCCATCTTTTTGGTGGCCCCCAGAATTCCCCAATTTAGTGAGAAGGAAGGAACCAGACTGGCCTGCGAAGAGCAGCCCAACCCCATCGGAAAGTTCTCGCACAGCTTCTCGGCCCCTACCCCGAATCCCTTGCCACTTCCCACTTCACTTCCTAGTGGTAAGCTTGGCAGGTCATCGGCAGGGGAGTGTGTAGCTTCTGTTGAAATTTGTCTTTAAATTCTATACATCTGTGACTACCATCTCCAGTCCCAGGAGGCCCGGTACAGTCTGGAGACCCCAACCTGACAAGCTGGCGCCTCCCTCAAAGTGCAAGTGTGTCTCTCTCCTACGGCTGACCTCGCAGATGAATCTCTGTGCACTTAGAGCCCTGATCACCTGGCCTGTTCCCTCATGCTTGACGGCAAACAACTTCTCTAGCCACTCTTAAGCAATAATTGGTTCTCATTCAAATGCTGAAGACCATCCAATATTGAGCAAGCTAATACGAGGCCCTCTATAAATAATTGCCTCAGGTAGGCCTAGTTGTTTCTAGCCTTGACTGCTGTTCAGCTTGAATTTGACTAAATATTTTTCACCACTCTCCAAATAAAGCTCAAAGTCAGATTTGTTTCCAGTGCTTTTATCTGAAAATGCTACCGTAAAAGGTGAGGTTTCCTTGGTCTCTGTTTCATCCTAGATTTTCCCTAGGCTGCCGATCTAGTTGGCTTATAAATCCCTACCACGTCACCCTCGTTGCTGGGGCTCAGGCCTTCCAGGGCAGCGGATGAGGTGGTGGCTTCCACCTGGCTTCAGTAATACATCCTGCTCTGTGCCAGACGGTGCCATCCGTGTAGGGAGGTGCACAACACACATGCACACGCATGCACACACACAGCTAGAGATACACATGCACACGCATGCACACACACAGCTAGAGATGTAAAGGGTACTGCCGTGAGCTTCTTGTTCGGCCCAGGATAGCGGCAACCAGGGGTTCTCTCTGATCTGGGGACAGAGTCCCTGCTTGGGATACAAATTACAGTAATGAAATTCAAAGCACAGAAAGGAACGAAGGGACATCACCATCTCCTGTCTCCAATCCTGGCAAATCCTGCACTCACTTCTGCCCTAAGGGCTAAGATTACAAGCTGAAGATTTACTATAAGTGAAAGGCTCCAAGGTCCCACCCAGAAATTTTATTTCTTAAATACAAGTTATGGAGTACCTACTGTGGCTAGCATTACAGAAGCAAATGGGGCTTACTCCGATCCTCCCTTCACATATCTTAACACCTAGAAGCCTGTGGTAGGGAGAAGGAAACCAGCTCGTTGGTACAAGCAGGACAGACAGGTTCTGAGCTGTGCCGTGTGCATAAAACCCGTTTAGGAATTTTGTGCTTCCTCCGTATCTTCCTACTCCACCCCATCTCGGTGTGTGCTGGGTCTTCATTTATATGGCATGGCTGTAATGCCTTATGTCCTGTCACAATGATTGAAATAAATCTACTACTTATACAGATACTGAAACAAAATGACTAGAATAGCTCTAACTGCTCTACCTGTTAAGGAAAGTAGCCCTGCCATGTTGGAACCATCCTAAGAAGGGGGGAAGAAATGAGAAGAAAAGCATCAGACATGGATCTCTGACGCACTGTAAATTCAGCAAAGGAAATAAAGCATACTCTGTTTGCAGAGTGCATAAACTCCGTCTGAGTTAACTAGGATAAGGAAGCATGTAAAACTATGGGAAATTCAAACTTAGATCATGTAAAGAATTACTCCATGGGTGGTGTTGCTCTTGTTATTCAACGCAGGTTAAAAAAGAAGTTGGCGATGTCTCCATCCTAATCAACAATGCCGGAATTGTGACAGGCAAAAGTTTCCTCGACTGCCCAGATGAGCTGATGGAAAAGGCTTTCGATGTGAATTTCAAAGCACATTTATGGGTAATTATTTTTTCTTCTCATGATAAATCTAAAGTTATTCTGAATTTAGAAGTACCTTCCTCTTGTTGTCTTACAATTTTTTTTCTTCTCTAACCAAAGCACAGACTTCTCAATTTTAGATTTGTCCCAGTCTACCCAGATGTCCCCACGCCTCCCCCACCCTGATCCAACTTAACCTGCACCTGCCTGAGCCTCTGCTAAGGAATCCTGACAAGACACAATTGTCCCATGGTTTTACTGTCATTTATTGATTGCCAACCTATGTTGGGTGCTATCCAAGGCACCTCCTATATCATCCTTGAAACAGCTCAGTGAAATAAGGGATCAGAAGAGTTAAAAGATTTGCTCAAGGCTACACAGAAATGATAGCACGTAGACATGACCAGGGAGATCTTACAATTTGCCTAAGCTGGAACTCTTTTGAAAGTGGAAAAGGTAAATAATAATAATAACAATAAAGAAAGTGAAAGAGGGCATTATCAATAAACAAGCATTAATCAGGTCTAGTCTGGGCAAACGAAGACATATAGTCACCTCACTCAGTATCTAAGCAGGCAAAAGGGAGTTTCTACCAGTAGCCTGGGTGACTTTAAAGGGCACAGGACAGGTGCCTCGGACATGAAGGGGCACAGCCCCTGACCTCCAACATGATATGCCCCTTGCAGAAGTTGGATTTTCCTAGCTTTTGCTGAAACCATTCTTGCCCACGCCTACCCACCCATGCGCATGCCCTCCCTTGCCTCTCCCTGCTGTCCTGGGCAGCCCTTGGCTGGGAGGGAGTATTTGCTGGAGAATTCTGAGCTCCCCTCCATCCTCCTTATACCTCCCTACCTGGACTCCCTGCCCAACTCTCATTTGGCAGCCTTCACATGTTATTTGGACTTTGTCGGTTTCTGTCCCCTAGTTTCACCAAAAGTGTCCTGGCACTGGTGGCATTGTTGGTGTTCTATATTATTTCCAGAAGAAAGATGGAAAGATTCAGAACTAAGTGACCACCATGTTCCTTTGGGAGCTACTGCAAGTGATTTATGTTGTCTTGTCCCAAATATCCCTCTCCTTCATTAGAAGGAAGTTAGATTCTTTGGCCAGAATGAAGATAAAACCATCATCTCATTAATAGTCTCCACTTCTGCTGCGTTCTTTTTCCTCCTCGGTCTCCTCTTTCTCTTCTTTCTCTCTTCCTGTAGTTGTCCCCAGAATGCTGGTGTATCCCTGGCCCCCATCATTCTCACTCTGGACGCTCTTTCTGGGCAAGTCCACGTACGTTCTTTGAGCCCCTGCATGGAGTAGACGCTTAACTGCCAATGGGTCGAGGGCTCCTGGTGACTGTACTCCCAAGGGATGCGTCCCCAGGGAGAAGTAAAGAGACTCACCGCAGACCATCGGAACTCAGGGAGCTTTTTATTATGCTGCTCTGTTGGCTCATTTTGATTTTCCACCTCTCTCTAAGTGTTAGTTTCTCTCGGAAAGTCATCGTGATGCACACAAAGGTTGTTTGACTTTTATAAGAGATCCCTTTTCTCATATTTATTCATATGATTCAAATTTGAAAATAAACATGAAATAGAAATTCACATAAATATGCAAGTATTCCTGTTTGAGGAGTTATTTCTGCGTTGTAGAGCCTATCTTCTATCAAAGCTCATCTCTCTCTCCTTTACCTTCTTTTTCCAGGTCCCACATCAAAGGTGCAGGTGCTCTGTAGTACTGAGGACACAGCACACATCCTTTCTTTCTAACATATCCTCTCTACTGACATGGAATCCAAATTAGAAACCACTATTCAAAGAAGTAGAGATGAATTTCAAAACAAAGTGATATTTTTAAACTGAAGCCTATAATGGTATGTCCTATGAACAATGTTCAGAAAAATTTGAAATCCAAATATGATCCAAGGGGCGGAAAAGACAATATAAATCTAAATAATCATATCTCCGAGTACTCTTACTGGTTTGTAGATTGTGCCTGCCACAGTTAGGATTCTCCGATACTGCTTGAATTAATGTATGAATATTGCTTTTCAAAGTCACATATGAACAAAATATAATTCTAAATAAATTATTTTTAATAATATTGGAACTGCCATCACGAAAATACTGATTTACCAGGTTGAACAAACTAAGAGGCTTACTTGCCAGATGTTCACATTTTTATACCCCAGTGCCTTCAAATATTTTTATGAGCTTAAAAGATTCTTTTCATCGCAACAGTCATATAAACATCTGAAAAAAGTATAAAATGTTAACAGTTCTTCCTTGCTCTTCTTAGACTTATAAATCCTTTCTACCTGCTATGATCGCTAATGAGCATGGACATTTGGTTTGCATTTCAAGTTTAGCTGGATTAATTGGAGTAAATAAACTGGCAGGTAAGAGAAATGTAATATTTAGCAGTTGCAAAAAGTTTTATAACTTTATCTTACTTAGCTCTGAACAATTAGCATTGATTTGATGTACCAGTGATAAAGGGTTATAAATTAAGAGACATATTCAATAAGGTAAGTGGTTGAGAACATGGTACAGCAAAACTGCCTATTAGATTTGCTTACATGCAGTTGAACTTTGCACTTTGGAATCATGAGGTCAGTGCAATCCCCTGGGCTTTCAAAAAAAGAGAAAGAGAGGGTGTCTGGGTGGCTCAGCCAGTTAAGCATCTGCCTTCAGCTTAAGTCGTGATCCCACGGTCCTGGGATCAAGTCCTGCATTAGACTCCCTGCTCAGCGGGGAGTCTGCTTCTCCCTCTGCCTCTCCCCCCTGGCTTGTGTGAGCTTTCTCTCTCTCTCTCTCTCTCTCTCTCTGTCAGATAGATAGATAGATGATTGATGGATGGATGGATAGATAGATAGATAGATGATAGATAGATAAAATTTTTAAAAGAGGAAGAGAGAGAACTTACTGATAAATTCTTTTTATGCAAGTGATTAGAGTAGTCACCGTCTGGGGGACCCCTGGCACTGTTATCAGGATGGTAAGGAGGAGCACTCTGCCTTCTGAAATTTCCATTAAGTGGTCTCCTTCGGCTGGGGGTTTGGAGAAAGTTTCTCCAGCCCAAAAAATTTAAAATTAACCTCTCTGCTTTTCCACTGGTCAAAGACTCGCAGCTCAAGATGCACAGCAGTGGTCTTAGCATGGTTCATCTCAGTTATGGGAACAGGGTTTTCAGAACCACCAGTCACCCCAAATTTTACCTGTCTATATACACATCTCCCGGTACACGGGACTCCCCTTTCTCCATCCTTCTTAGAATTCACTGGTTTTATTGTGACCTCACGGGTCTCTGAACTCCTACGGGTCTATTTGCAGGTCCTATGAATCCTTTTCCTGGCACAATATCTCTATCTTAAGATACAAGACTCTCCCATGCCCATGTTCACCTTAGAAACACGTGTAAGACTTTTGTAATTCTCACCCTGTGGATCTTGGCACCCCTGCATCAGAATCAGCAGGCATGCTATTTAGAATGCAGATTGCCTGAGTCCTGGGCTGTTTCTGCTCATCTGAATTTCAGAGATGCAGGGGCTCAGTGAACTGCATTAATGCCCCATGACTCAGGTGCTCCTAGAAGCTGCTCAGGACTCCCGTCTCCTCTTCCCTTCCTCTACTGTCTAACCCACCACAATCTAGGGACCTGACTCTTGCTGATGGTAGTGTCTGCTTCTGACCATGTGAGGAAAAGGAGAGTCAGAGTCCACCGACATGCAATTTCTTCTCCAAATATTTCCATTCTTCGAGTTCAAGATTCAGGTGTTTATTTGAAGTGAGTGTGATTGTAGGCTGAAAGCTCAAAACTGACATGGCTGCCATTTTCCATGCCCCCTGCATTTTCAAGATGTGTAAGAGGTAGAGGTTGACGTTTGCCAGTCTGTTTTTCTCTAGCAAAGGGAAGAAAGAGTCAGAGTTAGAAGAAAATTTGATCTGAGTATCACAACCCATGGTGATCTCACTTGCCTGGACTCCTACATCCCTTATTATTTTATTTCTTCTTTTGTGTGTCTCCCTGTCCCAATGGTCTTGAAACTCTTTGGGACACACATGTCACTGCCCCGTGGAACAGCTCCCACAGTGTCTGACCACTTGTTGGGGTGGAAGTAAAGCCTTGCAGTGTGACCTGCAGGAGGCTCCCTGAAGCCCTGCGTCTCCCGAAGGGCACTTGGTCCTTGTCAACCGACCTTTAGGTGATGGTGCTCCTCCCCACTCATTCCTCTCTTCCTCCAGCGGGTGCAGACCATGATCATACAAAATAAGAACTCTGAAATCATTGTCCCATTCTCTGTGTGTGTTCGTGTTATGAGGAAACCTTGACATAATGCCATTTAAAAACTCTAGAATATACATTACCGTTGTTTGCCTTTTTCAGATTACTGTGCAAGTAAATTTGCAGCCTTCGGATTTGCTGAATCTATATTTATAGAAACAATGGCCCAGAAACTAAAGGGGATAAAAACCACTATTGTGTGCCCATTTTTTATGAAAACTGGAATGTTTGAAGGTTGTTCTACTGTGTAAGTATGTCCTTTGATTTCAAAGAAACTGCATTTTTTAAAATGATGAAAAATTATTTTATTTTGTTCTATCCATTAATGTTGCTTAAAAAGGTATTCCTTAGGATTCAGCCTGATTTATAAGTATTTCAGAATTGTTTCTTTCTTCAAACGTGTTTGTGTTTAAGATATTGAGTTTAAGGGGGGTGGTTTATCAAGGCTGGGTCCAACTCCTACCGCACCATAGCCAGGTCTGCTAGCCATCTCCCCAGCATTCCTGGCCATAGTCTGTCTGTCCCACCAAACTCCTTGACTGACTCCACGGCAGGACTGAAAATTACTGGAGTGGGGGGACACCAATGCCCAACTCTGCATCTCACAGGGATGAAAGGAAGTTGTTCAATATGGTTTCACATAGATGCATATACTGTATCACTAGTGGCGCCTGGGTGGCTCAGTCGTTAAGCGTCTGCCTTCGGCTCAGGTCATGATCTCAGGGTCCTGGGATCGAGCCCCACATCGGGCTCCCTGCTCCGCAGGAAGCCTGCTTCTCCCTCTCCCACTCGCCTTGCTTGTGTTCCCTCTCTTGCTGTGTCTCTCTCTGTCTAATAAATAAATAAAATCTTAAAAAAAAAAAAAAGAATCATCATTTGCCATTTCAAAATAAAGTTGTTACTAGCACGTTGATAATAAAGGAGTAAAGATAGAAATAAATCAAATCTGGAAGGGAAAGAAGCAAATAAGTGATTATTATAGTCTTTTTAATCCCTAATTTATCAGATTTTTTTTAGTAATTTATTAACTTGGTTTTTTCGTTTTGTTTTTTTGTTTGTTTGTTTGTTTTTTAACTCCATAGCCATCCTTTTCTGTTACCAGTTCTGGAACCAGAGTATGTAGCTGACAAGATAGTAGATGCCATCCTGGAAGAGAAAATATACTTAAATTTGCCAAGGATTTTGTCCTTCTTGATGTTTTTAAAAAGGTAACAGTATCTATTACTATTACTTCTGTAATGAGCCAATCAACAACTTATTTTCCTACCAGGAGGAGCCACTCTAAAAATACCTGTTAAATGAATTCACTTTGATCCCTTCCTTGTGCCTGTTTGCTGACACGACCTCAAATTTGCATAGGTGCAGTGCTTCCCGTGAGTCTAGAAGATGGAACTGGATCCTGCCAGCCCTATCTTAGTATTGCATTATTGTTAGAGAGAAGTGGACTTACTGAATGATCTGTGGATGGACTGAAGTCATTTTTTTTTTTTTTAAGACAGATGGTCTTTCTTGTGGGCATCATAGAATAATCATGTTGGAACAGATATTGTCTCCATGCTTCCTCGAGTACAGATCCCCAGAGTCAAGGGCAGACAGTAAGCCAAACATTTCAGGAAGTTGTAGTATGGGTAAAACTGGCAAGAGAGGATAAATTTAAAGTATAAGAGGGTTAAAAGAGTTGGGGGCAGGGGACTGAAAAGCGCCCGAGAGCATCTTTGCTTACCCTCTCTGCTCCCCATTGGATTTTAGTGCTGAGATCCATCAGCGGCAGTCTGCGACTAGGGGACCCAGTTCTAGGAAGGGTGATGCCAAATTGCTGAGCAGCTGCAAATTTCCCACTATCTCAATTCGTTTTCTGGACTGTAACAGGTCATCAAGTCGTACGACATCCCCGCCCACCGGGGTTTCTGCTTTGCAAGGAAGCACATTCCATTACTGAACCACTTCTCTCCGTGGCGTTGAAATCTGTCTCGTTTTAACGTTCACTGGCTCTAACTTTACCCTCTAGCACTATGACTGATTCCATTCCTCTTGACAACAGTTCCTTAGTTATTTTAACATAGATATTATGGCTGGCAGCCACTGTCCTTCTTGCATGAGGAAATGCCTTTTTCTCTTCAGTTAATTGTATCTACTTTGTGCTATGCAACGAAATCATTCCTATATAAGACAGTATGGGTGTTCACAGGACAGTGGCTATCTGCTGCCTAATTGATAGAAGTACGTGGTATAGTAATGCCAACTGTAAAGACATAGGACTTAATTTTTCTAATGTTTTTGAATAATCATAGAGGTTATATATACGTTTATAAGATATTAGTTCTGGACCCCAAGAGATCTACATAGTTCCTGATAAGCATTTGGAAACATGAGGAAGTTCAGTAAAGGGGATGACATCACACATTCCCTCAAATATTCAGTAGTAGGCATTAGAGAGCGCTTAATGTGTGCCACGAAGGATCTGGGGTTATGGCAAAGAAGGAGAGAGACAAGAGTCCCTGCCCTCATGGAAATTTTCTTCTTGAGCGTGGTGTCAGGGAACAGACAAAAAAGTTAAGTAAAAGAAAAGTCATGCTGGGTAGTCATAAGTGCTAGGAAGAAACATAAAGCAAAAAAGAGAAATCCCAGAGTGGGAGGCAGGAGGTAATTCAGGTTGAGCCCCAGTGTTCAGTGTGTTGCTCAGGGGAGGGATCATGGAAAAGGTAACATGTGACATCCTGGGGTGCCCGCAGATGGACAGTGAGCTCAGTGTCCTTTCCTTTACCCAATGCTGAGGACGAGTCTTAGGTTTACTGTGCCTTGCCTTGCTCTGCAATGTGAATGTCAGATGGACGGGGTCTGTGCTCTGTTGGGAAGGGTGAGTGGGGATGGAGAAGATGAGCAGTCCTACCTGGGTCTTGCCAAAGGTCTGGGGGCCTTTCTAATCCCCATAGGAGTCTCAGAAAGAGAGATTGATACTTCATTTGATACCAGAAGAAATGGGCTTGAGGGCTAAATAATGGACCTGAGATGGCATGTTAAGTGACAAAGCTAGGATTCAAGCCAGGCTTATTCAACTCGACAAGACTTCACTGCTTCCTGTCAATCATTACATAGTTTGGAAACTGAGATGGGAAGTGAGTTGAATAAATGTAAAGCCAGAAGAGATATAGAAACCCTGGGCCAGTGTCCTCCCACATAGCGAACAAGCCTCGAGTGATCCTAAAGCATGCACACTAATGTGTGCATATGCCAATGACTTCCATCTACAACAACTCAGTGATGCTGCATTTTGGCTAAGTTGGTAAAGGTGCTTCCATGATAATAACCAAGAAAACCTCTCTTATGTTCTCTTTAGTATCTTGCCTGTCAAGGTGTCAGTTCTTCTGGTTGACTATCTGGGCGCCCTGAATGTAATGGATGGCTTTGTTGACAAGAACAAGAAAAACTAAAGACCAACTCAATGGCTGATACCATCTGATACCCAGCATTCCATAATCCTGATTTCAATGAAGAAAAGCATTTTTGTCCAACAATGTATCTGGAAACTACAAGTACCATTCTTTTTCTGCTCCCTGGACTACTATTTTCAACCAATGCCTTTGAAAATAATGTTCCTACCTGCTTTTTGGTTGGGTTTTTTTTTTTTTAATTAAAAAAAATTGCCCGTTTTTGTCATGTCTGCTTGCAACCGATGTGTAAGAAAAAGAATCCGGGGGGGAGGGGGGCGGAGCAAGATGGCGGAGGGGTAGGAGACCTGGATTTCGTCTGTTCTCAGGAATTCAGCTAGATAGGGATCAAACCATTCTGAACACCTACAAACTCAACAGGAGATCGAAGTAAAGAATAGCAACAATTCTCTGAACAGAAAAGCGACCACTTTCTGGAAGGTAGGATGTGCGGAGAAGTGAATCTGAGGTGATATTCGGGAGATAGACTGCGGGAGGGAGGGGGCCTCCATAGGAGAGCAGCAGAGCACAAAATTGGAACTTTTAGAAGTTGGCTCCGCTGAGGGACGTCGCTCCAGTGGCTAAGCAGGGAGTGAAACTCTCGTGGGACAGTATGGTCTCAGGACCCTCGGGGTCACAGAAAGACCAGGGGTGCCTGAGTGCGGCAGAGCTCCCAGGTATCGGAGCGGGGAAGCCAGCTGCAGAGACGGAGCCGAGGCATGGGCTCTCAGCTCGGGGTTGCCATAAACCATGATCCGCGGCACAGTTGGGCCACTGCTCCTCCAGCAGGGACCCAACAAGCGGCAGATCCGGGGAGACTCACCTTCCTCCCCCGGGAGGAGCCGCGCGGGAGCGCACTGCAGGGATCTGCTGGGTTTGGAGACTCCACACTGGGTCAGGTGCCAGAGATAGAAACGCGCGGTCACAGGCCGGGTGAGCATGGAGTGTGGCCGGAGACCAGGGAGATGGGAGTGACTGACTGCTTTTCTCTGGGGGCGCACTGAGGAGTGGGGCCCCGAGTTCTCGGGGCCTCTGGGGCAGAGATTGGGAGGCCGCCATTTTCACTCTCCTCCTCCAAAGCTGTAAGGAAAGCTTGCAGGGAACAAAAGCTCCCTAGAGCAAACCCGAGCAGATTACTTAGCCCAGACCGGACAAGGGCGGGGCAATTCTGCCTCCGGCAAAGACCTTTGGGAACCACGGCAACAGGACCCTCGCCCAGATCAGCGAGAACAGCCAGCCAAGACCAAGTTTACCGAACAATGAGAATGGCAGAACTCCAGTGGTAGGGGAATAATGCACATAGAATCCATGGTTTTTTTACCATGATTCTTTAGTCTTTCAAAGTAAATTTTTTTTAACTGTCTTTTTTTTTTAATTTTTCTTTTTCCCTTTTCAACCAACATCTTATCAATCCCTTTTTTAAAAAAACATTTTTATTTTTCATTTTTAGAGTCATGTTCTATCCCTTCATAGTAGTTACCCTTATTTTTGGCATATATATATAAGTTGTTCTCTCTTTAAAATTTTGAGATCGTTTCTTCTAACAGATCAAAATATACCCTAGTGTATGGCTTTGTTCTAGTCTCCTACCTGATCACAGTCTCTCCTTTTTTTCTTTTCTTTTTTTTAAACCTCTTCTTTCTTTTTCCAAACAACTTCTTATCAATTCCTTTTATAAAATTTTTTATAATTTTCATCTTTACACTCATATTCCATCCCTTCATCATATCGACCCTTATTTTTCTACCTATATAAGTTTTTCTTTCTTTAAAATTTTGGGAAGCACTTTCTTCTAACAGACCAAAATACACCCAGAATCTAGTATGTGGCACTGATCTATGCACCAACCTAATCATATTTGATCATATTCTGTTTTTTTGTTTTGTTTTGTTCTGTTTTTGTATGTTTTTATCTTTTCCTTTTTCTTTTTTATTTTCTTTTTCTTTTTTCTTTCTTTCCCTTTCTATTCCCCAGCTTCAGATCTTTTCTGATTTGTTTAGAGTATATTTTCTGGGGACGTTGTTACCCCGTTAGCATTTTGTTCTCTCATTCACCTATTCTCCTCTGGACAAAATGACAAGATGGAAAATATCACCTCAACAAAAAGAACAAGAGGTAGTACCGACTGCCAGGGACCTACTCAATATGGACATTAGTATGATGTCGGATCTAGAGTTCAGAATCATCACTTTAAAGATACTAGCTGGGCTTGAAAAAACCATAGAAGTTATTAGAGAAACCCTTTCTGGAGAAGTAAAAGAACTAAAATCTAACCAAGTCGAAATCAAAAAGGCTATTAATGAGGTGTAATAAAAAATGGGGGCATTAACTGTTAGGCTAAATGAGGCAGAAGAGAGTCAGTGATATAGAAGACCAAATGATGGAAAATAAAGAAGCGGAGAAAAAGAGAGATAAACAACTACTGGATCATGAGGGCAGTTGAGAGATAAGCGATACCATAAGACAAAACAACATTAGAATAATTGGGATCCCAGAAGAAGAAGAAAGAGAGAGAGGGGCAGAAGGTATATTGGAGCAAATTATAGCAGAGAAATTCCATAATTTGGGGAAGGAAACAGGCATCAAAATCCAGGAAGCACAGAGAACCCCTCCCAAAATCAATAAAAATAGGTCAACACTCCGACATCTAATAGTAAAACTTACGAGTCTCAGAGACAAAGAGAAAATCCTGAAAGCAGCTCAGGAGAAGAGAGATGTAACCTACAATAATAGAAGCATTAGATTAGCAACAGACCTATCCACAGAGACCTGGCAGGCCAGAAACGACTGGCATGATATATTCAGAGCACTAAATGAGAAAAATATGCAGCCAAGAATACTATCTCCAGCTAGGCTGTCATTGAAAATAGAAGGAGAGATAAAAAGCTTCCAGGAGAAACAAAAACTAAAGGAATTTGCAAACACGAAAGCAGCCCTACAAGAAATCTTGAAAGGGGTCCTCTAAGCAAAGAGAGAGCCTAAAAGCAACATAGACCAGAAAGGAACACAGACAATATACAGTAACAGTCACCATACAGGCAATACTTTAGCACTAAATTCCTGGGCGCCTGGTGGCTCAGTTGGTTAAGCGACTGCCTTCGGCTCAGGTCATGATCCTGGAGTCCCTGGATCGAGTCCCACATCGGGCTCCCTGCTCAGCAGGGAGTCTGCTTCTCCCTCTGACCCTCCCCCCTCTCCTGCTCTCTCTCTCTCTCTCATTCTCTCTCTCAAATAAATAAATAAATAAATCTTTAAAAAAAATAGCACTAAATTCCTATATTTCAGTAGTTACCCTGAATGTAAATGGGCTAAATGCTCCAATCAAAAGACAGAGGCTATCAGATTGGATTAAAAAACAAGACCCATCGATATGCTGTCTGCAAGAGACTCATTTTAGACCCAAAGACACCCCCAGATTGAAAGTGAGGGGGTGGAAAACCATTTACCATGCTAGTGGACACCAAAAGAAACCTGGGGTGGCAATCCTTGTATCAGACAAATTAGATTTTAAACCAAAGACTGTAATAAGAGATGAGGAAGGACACTATATCCTACTTAAAGGGTCTATCCAACGAGAAGATCTAACAATTGTAAATATCTATGCCCCTAACATGGGAAAAGCCAATTAGATAAGGCAATTAATAACAAAAGCAAAGAAACACATTGACAACAATACAATAATAGTGGGGGACTTTAACACCCCCCTCACTGAAATGGACAGATCATCTAAGCAAAAGATCAACAAGGAAATTAAGACTTTAAATGACACACTGGACCAAATGGGCTTCACAGACATATTCAGAACATTCCATCCCAAAGCAATGGAATACACATTCTTCTCTAGTGCCCATGGAACATTTTCCAGAATAGATCACATCCTAGGTCACAAATCGGGTCTCAATTGGTACCAAAAGATTGGGATCATTCCCTGCCTATTTTCAGACCACGATGCTTTGAAACTAGAACTCAATCACAAGAGGAAAGTTGGGAAGAACTCAAATACATGGAGGCTAAAGAGCATCCTACTGAAGAATGAATGGGTCAACCAGGAAATTAAAGAAGAATTAAAAAAATTCATGGAAACCAATGAAAATGAAAACACAACTACTCAAAATCTTTGGGATGCAGCAAAGGCAGTCCTAAGAGGAAAGTATATAGCAATACAAGCCTTTCTCAAGAAACAAGAAAGGTCTCAAGTACACAACCTAACCCTACACCTAAAGGAGCTGGAGAAAGAACAGCAAATAAAGCCTAAACCCAGCAGGAGAAGAGAAATCATAAAGATCAGAGCAGAAAAGAAAACAAAAGAACAGTAGAACAGATAAACAAAACTAGGAGCTCGTTCTTTGAAAGAGTTAACAAGATTGATAAACCCCTGGCCAGACTTATCAAAAAGAAAAGAGAAATGACCCAAATCAATAAAATCATGAATGAAAGAGGAGAGATCACAACCAACACCAAAGAAATACAAACAATTATAAGAACATATTATGAGCAACTCTATGCCAGCAAATTCGATAGCCTGGAAGAAATGGATGCATTCCTAGAGATGTATCAACTACCAAAACTGAACCAGGAAGGAATAGAAAACCTGAACAGACCTATAACCACTAAGGAAATTGAAGCAGTCATCAAAAATCTCCCAACAAACAAAAGCCCAGGGCCAGATGGCTTCCCAGGGGAATTCTAAAACATTTAAGGAAGAATTAATACCTATTCTTCTGAAACTGTTCCAGAAATTAGAAATGAAGGAAAACTTCCAAACTCGTTTTAGGAGACCACCATTACCTTGATCCTCACCCAAAGACCCCATCAAAAAGGAGAATTACAGACCAATAACCCTGATGAACATGGATGCAAAAATTCTCACCAAAATACTAGCCAATAGGATCCAACAGTACATTAAAAGGATTATTCACCACGACCAAGTGGGATTTATCCCTGGGCTGCAAGGTCGGTTCAACATCCACAAATCAATCAATGTGATACAATACATTTTAAAAAAAGAAAGAACAAGAATCATATGATCCTCTCAATCCATGCAGAAAAAGCATTTGGCAAAGTACAGCATCCTTTCTTGATCAAAACTCTTCAGAGTATAGGCATAGAGGGTACATACCTCAATATCATAAAAGCCATCTATGAAAAACCTACAGCGAATATCATTCTCAATGGGGAAAAACTGAGAGCTTTCCCCCTAAGGTCAGGAACGCGGCAGGGAT